CAAACCAAACCAAACCAAACCAAACCAAACCAAACCAAACCAAACCAAACCAAACCCTATATTGCCAGATACATTGAACACTGGGCCAAAAATTATGATAAAGCTCTGTTAAGTTAAGGGATCCTGTTAAGGGCATGGCAAACAAATTCTTATTATGTAAAGGGGACACACACACACACACACACACACGAACATGCAAATAAATATGTGCACTAAAAAAGCAGAGAATATGGGGCTGGAGAGATGGCCCAGTAGTTAAGAGCACCCACTGCTCTTCCAGTGTACCTGGGTTCTATTCCTAGCACCTCCATGGTGGCTTACAACTGTCTGTAACTCCAGTTCCAGGGGATCTGACACCCTCTTCTGGCTTTCTGGGGGCACTGTGGTCATGTGGCAATTCTGGCAAGGCACTCATACACACAAAATAAAAAGGGGGAAACATTTTTTGGGGGAGGTTAAAGGTCAAGATTTTATTGTCTTCATAACAAAATCAGCTTAGAACTGGATTGCTTAGCCCTTTCTCTTCTTGTCGCCACCGCCACCCAGTTCAGAATGTTTGCATCTCTTAGGGCCAGCATCCTCTCAGATCTGCAGTTGGGCTCCATGCTCACTAGTCTCAGCACAAACTTCTTTGTAGTTTTAGACTTTTTGCGGAAAATAGACTTAGCCTGCCTACCATGCCTCTGTTTCCTGTCATAGTGCCGCTTTCCCTGGGCTGACAGAGAATCCTTGCCCTTGTACTGGGTCACCTTGTGGGGTTGGTGCTTGCCACACTTCTTGCAGAATGTCCGGTGTGTCTTAGAAACGGTCACTATGTTCGCAGGAGCACACTCAGCTCAGACAGCTCAGAAAGAGCGGGACTTTTTTTTTTTTCGAGACAGGGTTTCTCTGTATAGCCCTGGCTGTCCTGGAACTCACTCTGTAGACCAGGCTGCCTCGAACTCCGAAATCCGCCTGCCTCTGCCTCTCAAGTACTGGGATTAAAGGCGTGCGCCACCACTACCCGGTGGAAAAATATTTTTTAAAGTGGAGAATATGAATTGTGGTCGTATCACTCCTGACCCACTATATGGCTGAGAAATGTAATAGCAACTTATCTAAGAGGCACACAAGCTCTGGCCAGAAGAAGCTTTTTAATGTAATCTTACTGAAAACAAAACCACCAAAGACCTTCTTAATGATATTACTTTGAAAAAACACTTTGCCAGTTTCTAAAAATGAAGCCAACAGAAAATAGACCCGTATTTCCTTCTTGCGCACCCGTGTCTCAAAGCATCTACTGCCCCAATGAGAAGGTTTGGAAATCAGATCCGCCCGGCACTTTCTCAGAGCCCAGCGCAGGGCAGGTTGCAGAGTAGCACCGAGGGAGGGAAGCTTGAAGCGGCTTGCAGCGGGTCTGTTCTCATCCGCGGCCGCTCATCCCTCCCACGTGTCCAGCCTAGTAGGTCTGTGCTGCAGCACGCACCGCTTCAGCCCTGAGACCCTGGCCGCGGTCCAGCCGGTGTAGGCCCTGCTGGAAGGAGCCAGAGGAATGCCTGCAAGGCTGAGCGCATTCCCGGGGCCTTGTGCAAATGATGATGCAATCCTCGCAGCTTCCTGGGAAGGGGGAGGGGGTGGGTGGGTGGGGGGGACGCTGTATATAACCCCAAACCCAGCAGGAAAGTACTGGTGGGGGGCGGGGCAGGGCTTGAGAAGCATTTTCCACGACGTCTTTGGCCTTTGTCTCCACCAAGGGCATTCTCACTGGAATAGAAAAAACAGATTTATCGCTCTCTTTGATTTTCCGTGTGGTTGAGGTTTTTATTTTATTTTATTTATTTATTTTGTTTTTGTTTTTTTTAAAGATCCATGTGTACCCAAGGTTGGAATGGGCTGCCGTGGGAAGTTGTGGGTTCCTTGCCTAGGGTGCGTGATAACTAATTGGCAGCGATGTTGTGGAGGCGAAGAGGACTCCAACACCAAGATGCTATGAGTCTTTGGTGTCCATTGTCCCTAAGACGCTGCCAGAGGTACGCAACCTGATGTGGATTTCACAACTGTCTTCCCAGGTCGGTGATGCAAGCTCCTTCAGGAGAAAGTCCTGGCTGCTGAGATGGACCTTGAGCTGTTGGGGCTGGGAGTGCCTGACTCATGCTTCCTAGCCCATGCCAGCATCTCAGAGGGAAGCGATGCCATCTTCTCCACGGCTTCCTCTACTCGCCCCCTGAAGGCAGGCGTCTCCTCTCCAGTCCTCCCCCTTCCTTTGACTGCACATCACTCTCTGGAGGATCTCAGCCACACCTCTGACTCCAACCCTCACCCCTGTGAATCTCAAACTGTTTCCATCCTTGACTTCATTCCTGAGCTCCTCCTCACCCACAGAGCCATCCAGGAACCCAGTCTCTTCTCTACTTCTCAAACATGGCGTATCCGGAAGGGCACTGTTTATTCTGCCTTCAGATTGGACACTGCTCTTGGTTCCAACTGAGTTTGTTTCTATGTATGTCCAAGCCTCCACGTGCCCCCTCAAGGTGCAGCTTTTTGGCCTTTCTTATTCTAACTCCATCGTAGTCAATTCTGCTGTTTATGCATTGGCCGCTAATATCTGGTCACGTGACTGACCTCCTTTTCTGGTACATCCCTCTTCTCCAAACTCTGTATCCCTCACTGCCACTGAAAAGATGGGGATACTGCCTCCACCAGCTGGTCATTCCCTTAGGAACAAGTGGAAAGCGTAAAAAGACAGATACTACCCAGTGTGGGCAAGCACACAGGGTAATCCAATCCCTGGTGCCGGTTCCGCTAGGTGTGCGGAAGGGCAAAACAACTCTGGAAAACTAGAGGATCTATCTATTTAAGGGGGAAACGCATAACCCACGATCCGATGAGGCTGTTCTGAGATGTGAACCCAGCAGATACACAGGCACTAGAGAAGTGGTTCTCAACCTGTGGGGTACGACCCCTTTGGGGAAATGACCCTTTCACGGGGGTCACCTAAGACCATCGGCAAATACAGATATTTACTTTATGATTCATAACTGCCTTCAGGGGGCGAGTAGAGGAAGCCATTTCTAGTCTCAACATTTCTAGTCTTCACAGTTATGGAGTAGCAATGGAAATACTTTTATGGCTGGGGTCATCACAACTTGAGGACCTGTATTAAAGGGTCTCAGCACTGGGGAGGTTGAGAACCACAGCTCTGGAGCATTCCAGGGCACTGCTGAGAGGTGCTGTTCACGGATAGGCTATTATAGAGCAGTAAGAAGGAACTCAGCTTGTGTGTAGCTGGGTTCTAGAGTCCTGGGGACATTGAGTAAAGTTCATACATTGTAAGACAGGAGGAAAGTGGCTAGGATGGTGCTTTGTCTGTGTGTACAAAGTTCCTGAGAGGGGTCACTGTGGCCTTCTGGAGTTTTAGCAACAATTTGTATATTTTACAATTTATTTTTATTATTTAAAAATCATGTATATATGTGTGTGACTATGTGCACAGGAGTGTAAATTCCCTCTGAATCCAGAAGAGGGCACAAGATCCCTTGTAGCTGGAGTTACAGGCGACTCTGAGATGCCTGACATGGATGCTGGGAGCCAAACTCAGGTCCTCTGCAAAAGCAGCAAGTGCTCAGAACTGCAAAGCCAGTCCCTCCAGCTCCAACAACTGTATCTTGTGTGTGTGTGTGTGTGTGTGTGTGTTTATTTATGTGTATGGGTGTTTTGCTGCATGTACATCTGTGCATCGTGTGTCTGGTAGCATGTCATAACAGGGCCTCAGATCCCCTGGAATTTGAGTTACAGATGGCTGCGAACCACCATATGGGTGCTTGGAACTAAATCCAGGCCCTCCGGAAGAGTAGTCAGTGCTCTTAGCCACTGAACCATTTCTAGTCTCAACATTTACTTTTTACTCTTTCCTCCCATCCTTTCTCTCCCTTGGCTGTTCTTCTTTCCTTTCACAGAGCCTCACTATGTATCCCAGGCTGGCCTTTAACTTCAGATCCTCCTGTGTCTGCCTCCCAAACACTGGGATTCCAGTTGTGCCTGGTGATGACTGGTTTCCTTATCTGGATGCTATTTCCGTAGATACCAGTTTCCAGGAAGTTTTGTCATATATTTATCATACTTCCATGGAAGCTCACTAAACTCCCCTCTCCCATATGCACACGGACAGAAAGCCTCCTCCTCAGTGCACATGCCCAGAGGAGAATCCTGCAAAGCTGGCAGCACACATAAGCTCTCCAAGATGCTCAGAGCCTGCCAGGCCACTTCTTTTCCTCCTGTCGCTTCTCTGTCCACCATCAAGGCCACTCCTGGTTCTGCCGGCTGGCCTCCATGCCTTCAGCTTGCACTGCCTCTTTCTACCTGGTTCTGTCTGAGGATGCCATCTTTTCTGTGAGGTTTCTCAAACCTCTCTGGTGGCATGGCATCTCTACCTGCTACGCCTCCCTGTCTTTCAGCTCTGGACTCTGCCTGTCTGTAATTCTCTTAAAGAAGGGAAACCTGAGGGATGGTGTGGTAGGAATGATGTCTTTTTCACCTTTGTAAAACCCCCTGGAGCCAAACCTGTGCCTGGTACTGTGCCCCAGCTAATGAATGTTTGACAAATGATCCCATGTGCGTTCACGGTTAAGTTGTCATCTGTCCTGCCAGAAAGAAAGCCAAGGCATCCAGCATATTAAAAAAAAAAAAAAAAAAACCCAGAGCTAAGCCCCTTTAGAAGTCAACACATCCTGCTGAAGGTCCTTCACGGGCTGCTGACAGCCCAATAGAGGGAACCATGTTCTGCAGCATTGTGGGCGTGTCCAATTAGACTCGGTGAGACAGAGCTGCCCTCCTCTAACATGAATAAGCCGTGCAAATATGTGGTTAATGACCATGTCGCTCCGTGTCAGTTCTTAATCCCAGATAATTAGCAGATAGATAATTGGTGGAAGAACGGGAGGTGCTGACAGACGACCCATCACTTGGGTGAAGTTAATGATCCTCTGTGGATTATGACCCACCCTCTGGGAGTGTTGATGGCTGCTATTTGAAATGCTCCTTTTGAAAGGGCTTGGATCCAAAAAGAGGTGTCAAGAGCTCCAGCTCGGGGCGTGGCATCAGAACTAATTCCCTGGGCTGCTTCCTGGAAGGTGGGTGGATGGATGCAGGACTGCCAGTCTGAGACAGGCAGCTAGGGGGTCCCGTGCTGAGCCCACCACCGATGTCCTAGCTGAGCTTTCTCCCTGCATTTGGCCTTGTCTGTAAGGGTGCAGGGGGAGCTGCAGCATGAGAATGGGAAGCAGACACTTTTCCTAGGAGGCCTGTGACTTCAAGGTGGAGTAGTCGCTGCTGTCAAGATATTGGGCAGTTTGAACTGGCCTGGATGACAGCACCCGAGGAAGGAACATTGGAGGGATGAGAAGAGATATCTGAAGCCAGGCTGTGCTGCCTCATACCCTTAGCCCCAGCTCTCAGGAGGCAGGGGGATCTCTAAGTTTGGGGCCGGTCAGGTCTATAGAGTGAGTTCCAGGATAGCTAAGGTTACATAGTAGAACCCTGTCTCTAAAACAGAGAGAGAGAGAGAGAGAGAGAGAGAGAGAGAGAGAGAGAGAGAGACAGAGAGAGACCAAGCTGGCCTCTTCATCTTTCTTGGAATTCAATTCTCTTTGCTTTCTTTTTTTTTTTCTTTTTTTCTTTTTGTTTTTTGTTTTTTTGGTTTTGGTTTTTGGTTTTTCGAGACAGGGTTTCTCTGTATAGCCCTGGCTGTCCTGGAACTCACTCTGTAGATCAGGCTGGCCTCGAACTCAGAAATCTGCCTGCCTTTGCCTCCCCAGTGCTGGGATTAAAGGCATGCTCTACCACCGCCTGGCAGCTGCCTGATTTTCTAAACAGGGAGCAAGGTCCAAATCACTGCACAGAGCAAAGGGGGCCCTGATAAGCATCCATCAACATGGGTGGCAATAAATCCCATTAAGTAAAAACTGTGAAATTCTCTTACAGCAGTTAGAGTTGCCCTGGTTGCCTGGATAAGCAGGAAGTCAGTTTGTTTCTGTGGGGCTGATTCTGAGAAATTCAGGTATGGACCAAGCAAACAAACAAAGCCCCCAGGACAGTCTCCCCCCTCCCCCCAGGGTTTCTCTGTGTATCCCTGACTTTTCTAGCACTCATTCTGTAGACCAGGCTGGCCTTGAACTCACAGAGATCCATCTGCCTCTTCGTCTGCCTCCTGAGTGCTGGATGCACCACCACTGCCCAGCTGAAGGTTGCACTTTTTTTGCCTTTTGTTTAGAGAGTCGGCTTTTATAATGTAGCCCAGGTTGGCCTTGTGCTCAGTATTCTCCTGCTTCAGTCTCACCAGCGCTAGGGACACACACGTGTGCCGCCACAACTGACTGTGAAGGAGGAAAATATCACATTGTCAGACAGGTGTCAGAATCAAAATTCACAAAATTGTTGGGCTCTGCTCCACTCTGGGAGGCTTAGGGATGCAGTGTCTGGAGACCTTTGCCACATCACCTGTGTGTGTGTGGGTATCAGCAGCTAGAGCACAGCACCAGAGAGGCTGCCACATGTCCTTCAGAGCTTAGACTCACTCCCCAAACTGTTACCTGGCCCAAACACCAATAGTGCCGAGGTTGCAAGTTCTGGTTCCATGGCTTCTTGAGAACCACAGGATATCACTGTGATTCTCCTCACCAGACTTCCAGAGACGCTGGGCACTGTGCAGTGCTGTCCTGGTGTGGGAAAGAGCCCTTCTGAGGGGGATTCTGCAAAAGCCCTGGGGTGAGTGAGTATTTGTAAGCAACAGGTCAGATTGTTCCATGGGTAACACGGGGGCGGGGCAAGGGTGGGGAGTGACATGGGGGACAACACACTATGGAACCTCTGAAGCTGGAGGAGACCAGTGGCCAGTGGCAGGTGTGGTCTGGGCAGGTACTGACCTGAAACTCTGGGAACACATTTGCAGATCCTTGGTAATGTGAAGGTAAAATCCATCCCAGGACAAGAGAGAAGGGATGGATCAGAGCTGGGTACTGTACTGGATGGTGGTTTTGATTCCAAACTTGCCTTTATTTTTTTTTTTTTTTAAATCTCACTCTGTAGCCCAGTGTGGGCTGAGATTTGTGGCAATCCTCCTGCCCCAGCCTTCCAAATACCAGAATTATAGACATGAATCAAGATCCCTGGCTGAAATTTTGCAGTTTTTGAAAAAGATTTGTTCTTATTTCTATTTGACTGTGGGGTGCGTGTGTGTGTGTGTGTGTGTGTGTGTGTGTGTGTGTGTGTACGCGCGCGCACGCCTACCTTGAATGTTATTCCTCAGGGGCCACCCATTTATTTTTGAGATAGGTTCTCTCATTGGCCTGGAGCTTGTCCACTTGTCTAGGCTGGCTAAGAGAGATCCCTAGGAACTTGCCTGTCTTCATTCCCTCCATGCTAGAGTTACAAGTGTTTGTCCCTTCACCTGACTCACTTTACATGGGTCACTCAGGTTCTCATGTGTGACCAGCATGTCACTGACAGAGTTATCTCTCCAGGCCTGTAAATGTCTTTGAGGAGGTGTATCATCTATATAAATCAGGGGATAGACACTATATTCATGATCATCAATGTAAATTGTAGTTCCCAGAGAAAAAGCCTCACATAGTGAAGACTCTACTCCACCGATGCTTTAGAACTCTGAGATTATTGAGGGTTAGAATGTGACAGATCCAGGCATCTTGGCCGTCTTTAGTCTCACTAGTGGCCATTTAACACTTGCCTCCTGTATCTATCTGACCCAACGTCCTTTCCACTCTCAGGTAAAACCTTTGGGATGTAGTATCTTAGCAGACACCAGCTTCCCTGACCCCAAAAGCT